TATGGTACATTTTGTTCATCCATTCATCCATCAATGGGTATTTGGGTTGCTTCCACTTCCTGGCTATTATGAATAATGGAGCTGTGAAAGTGAGTGTGCAAATAACTTCTTGCTTGCAGTTGTGGGTACACTCTCAGACGTGGAATTACCACATCGTATGATCATTCTGTATGTAGGTTCTAGAGGAACACTCATCTTTTTTCTATAGTGGCTGCACCATTTTACAGTCCCACTATGTTACCAACATTTTCATTCAGCTGTTTGAAATAATACTCTCTCATCTTATAGCATTCTTTCGCTCCTTTGCAGTCAGAGAAGTAGTCAAGAAATGCTTTCAGCCCTGGCCGATTTGGCTCAGCGGTTAAGAGTGTCTGCCTGCAGACTGAAGGGCTGTGGGTTCGATTCCTGGTCAAGGACACATACTTGGGTTGCAGGTTTGATCCCCAGCCCTGCATAGGGATCATGTGGGAAGCAACCAATCAATGCCTCTCTCTCACATCCGTGTTTCTCTTTCTCTCCCTCCCTCCCTTCCACTCTATCTGAAGATCAATGCGAAAAAAAATATCCTTCAGAAAGAATTAACAACAAAAATGCTTTCATTTAAATTTATTTAAACACAACGGAAAAATTGTGAGACGCCTATAAAGGTTTGATAGGATAGACCTTGCTAATATTTCTAGGAGCTTAAAACAGCAGTTTGATGTTTGCATCTTCACTTTTCTTTCTAACTTGTATTTGTACACATTTTGTGTAGTTGCAAAAAGCACAAAAATTCTTAAATTCTTCACGTATCCTTTTTATTTCTCCATACCGTTTATTACTTTTATAGATGACAACATACTCCACTGTGTTAATAAACCATGTAATCAATATATTTGGATGTCGTGATTTTTTTTTTTTTTGGTATGTTTAAATCATGTTGCCATTGGCATCTTCAAAGTCAATCAGTTTTTTTTTCAATGACTATTGTTCTGTGTTTAGTACTTTTCTAAGGGAGAGTTGTTTTCCTTGCAAACTTGACTTCCCAAAGGTTTGTTTACACTTTTAAAATTATATGTGTTGTTAACACATTGTTGACCAGCAATTTTATGTAGAAGTTATCTCATGTCACCAGCTATTTTTTCGTAATTGAGTATGAAAGTGAAACAATCTAAATAAACTTCAGTATACTTTATTTATACGTAATGAATTTGAGTGGAACTTTGTACATATCTGCTACATATTATATTTGATACATATTATATATTTTAGTAATTTTTTAGTGCGGTAGACTGCATAGCAATCACCTACGTGTGATGGTACGCAACATGTTTTGCAAATATATCTGGTTTTGCTGCGCTTTCCTTTTGAAACACACACTTTACATGTTCTAGTTGGATTTTTTTTCATACCAAAAAAAATTTAGTGACTATTTTTTCCAAAACGTGGTCTTTTAGTTGCCCTGAAAGCCCAAAAGGTGAATCAATGTAAGGAGCTCCTTTAGAAGGACCAGAAGTGTTAGGTTCTGAGCTGCACTCATGTGAACCAGCAGATATCCATTCCCTAGCTACTTCAAGTAGAAATTTTTTGTATCTTATTTTGTCTATTGTAATTACAGTAAATTTTGAATGCACTGAATAAAGCGCAATTGATCAGAAAGAATGCTACTTTTTTAAACCACTTTATACTTTTTTGAAAGATACTGCTATTTGCCAAATATTGGTCTGCCCGGTCGACTCCTTTCATGTATTTGCTGTAGTCTAATATGCACACAGGTTTAACTATATCTTCTGTAGAATTTCTTTTTAGTTTTCCAGTTGTTTTCATAGAGGCATCGTGGATAGTTGATATCATATTCACTAGTCTTCTATCTTTCCCTGATATAAGGACAATGGGTCCTTTCCATAAAAATGTCATTTCCCCTCTCTGAATATTTTTTGACTTTTTTTTTAGTACCTTTGGCAAGCCACGGTTTTCTCTTATGGTACCACAGATTAATGTTTTCTAAAAATATTTCAGCTGTAGAAACACTGTTGTAGTAATTATCTCGGTATACATGATGCCAAGAATCAAGATGTGGCTCTAAGACAGATAATACAGTTTCTTGCAGCCTTTTGCCTTCATCCAAATACATCTCGAAGTTGCAAATGTATCCTTGCTTTCACAAAGCATTCTCACTAAAATCCCATATTTTATTATTTTTGCCGGATTATATGTTCTGAAGCTGATACGTCCTCTATATGATATCATTGCTTCATCTAGGGCTAACTCCTGCGTAGGTACATACAAAGACTGAAATTTTGGAAGAAAGTTATCCAAAACAGGCTTAATTTTATACAGTCTGTCTTCATTAGATGTATGTTGTGAATTATCACTAAGATGGAAAAATGTTAGAATTTGCTTGAACCTCATTCTGCTCATAGTTTTAGGAAACAGAGCTTCAGCCAAAGGGTCCATTGACCAGTAATCCCTCCAATGCGATTTTTCCATTTGTCCCATCAATATCAACAAACCGAGAAACTTCTTGAAATTGGTATTGGTAACTTTCGTCCATGGTACAGTGTCAGCAGATTTTTTTGTAAAATTGTTCCATTTGGTGGTGGTATAAATTGGTTTGAGAAACAACTAAATCCAAAAAATTATCGCTAAAAAGTGATTCCGTCGCTTCCCTGATGCTCTGTGGATGACTAAGTTTCAGCAGTTACACCCGAAATACTTGAATAATCCTCCAAAATTGGTGTGATATCATTTTCAATCCACCCTTCAAAATACGTTCACTATCAGATCTTATTACATTTCTTTTTTGTCGTTTAGGTGGTCTAATATCTGACTCATTACTGTCTTCCGACAGTTTCTACATCACCACAATATATTTCAAAATCAATCAGATAAAGTGTCTGCATATAATTCATTGAAAAGTTCTTCACCTTCACGATCCATCATGGTTGAAACTTTTGTAATACTATAATTGTGATAAAAACCTAGATATCAAGAAAAGTCACTTTTTTTATAATAAACTGAACACAATTCAACACGACGAAGAAAAGTTTTCCAATATCCTTGATATGTATGTTCAACCTGCGAGCGGTTAGAAGACAGTCCAAGGTTAGATGGCTCAATACTATTGTTTCTGTTCACCGGACCTTCCATGGTGCGGTCTCACGCCCGGAGGACTGGGGGGTAAAGGACTCCGCATGAGCATATAGAACCATGTGCTGGTTTTTGAACTTCGACCCTCCCGGCAAAGAGTCACAAATACAATAATCCTATATTACCCTGAGTTTCAAAAATTGAAATAGCTAATGCAAGTGCAAACGTGAGTTAACTCACAATCGGTCCACAAAATTTGGGCAGGAAAGCACGAGTTAACTGGTGAGCTGTTAACTTGTGAGCTGTCAGCAATTTAAAATAACCTTTTGTGCCCTGGCTGGTTTGGCTCAGTGGTTGGAGTGTTGGCCTGCGGTCCAGAGAGACCCGGGTTCGGTTCCCGCTAAGGGCACGTACCTCGGTTGCAGTTTGTTCCCGGCCCTGGTTCGGTTGTGCGGGTGGCAGCAACTCGATGTGTCCCTTTCATGTTGATGTTTTTCTCTTTCTCTCCCTCCCACTCTATCTGAACAAAAAATGGAAAAATGTCCTCTGGTGAGGATAAAAAAATAAATAAAATAACCTTTTGTCATTCATTAAATGTTAAAGACTTAATCTTATTTAGCATCAGCCCAATGAAAAAGTAAACATATCTCTGTACTACGGATGAAACCTGAATAACTCAGAAGTTATAATTCAAAATGTTTGTTTATATAAGTGAAAACTCCTTTTCTCCCCTCTCATTGACCCTCAGGGAACTTTGTGAATGGACTATTTTACCTCTTTAAGCATATGGAGGTTACCTGCTTATTCGAAGGGAGCCCAGTCCCTCTGTTGACCCTTCTGCTGAAGATTTGTATGTATGTCATTGAACCAACAGTCTATGCTCAGAACCTAGTAGTGAATAGGTGTGTCAGAATACAGCGAGCAAGAAAACTACTGAAAACATCTTATCTGCCCTGGAAAAGTTAATAATGTCAAAGAATCTATTCAGAGAAGGACCTATCTAAAAAAGTTTTTTCAAGACAAGCCAATAGGTAATCATTATGAAAAGCATTGTATAGATCACCACAGTCATTGAGGAGCTAAGGAAGTCCATGGCGGGTGGGTAACAAAAGAATTCCATATAATAAATGTGAGGTTATTTAACATGTAATGAAGAAATTAATACAGTTCTAATTTTTGTCAGGCAGAATAGAGTTAAAAGTAGCTAACTCTGCTCCCCTATAGGATGCCACACCTCTCAACTTTCCCTAAGATAGTGACCTGTGATCTGTACCCCACGGACAGGACATCACTGCCCTTTGCTCTTCTCTTAGCCAGTCACATTTTGGTGACAAAAATGGGAACAATTCAACTGACTTTACCAGGACAGGATTCTAAGCCCTTGAGAGACCCAATGTATTTATTATAAGTCTAATTCTCATAATATCTTTAGCGTGTGTTCATAAGTACAGATGTTCTTTAAATGACCTTTTCACAAAATTAGTCTTCTGAAGGGGAAAGCTACCTGCCAGAGGTTTTCTCTGAGAGCGCTGAGTTGGGCAAAATCTAAGTAAAATTGAATTACTAAATTAAAGTGAGTACATAGGAGTTTCTGGCTATGGTTGGGGGAGGGGATTGTCTTCCATTTAGGTACCTGATTTTCTTGGGGATGCCTGTCTACATGTTCTTTCACACTAAAGCATGTTCTGTTTGATACTGCTGTTGATTAAGCTCATGTCGCTTTAGTCTCCCAGTGAGAAACTATGGTGAGCTGAGATGATAGCTTTGACTGTCTTTAGTCTTCATTGCTTGAACTATTTCCTTCTTGTCAACCCCCTCCGCTCCCAAACATTTTGTGTGTCCAGAAGTTCTATTTGGTGAATGAACCCAATAGCTTTTCTGTGAAGGACCAAGTTGGCGGAAAAACAACAACAACAGTTTAACACCCCCAAAGGATTTATTTTTTTAAAAAGTATGGCTCACTATGGTAGTATACAATATTGTTTTCATACATGTATACTTAAAACCAAATTTAAAAAAAATAGCTGTTGTAACATTAAACCATAATCTAATGAGCATGTCCACCCACGCTCCTGTCTTCTCCAGAGTCTTCTGAAGTCCCCTCTGGTCCCAGGTCATGGCCAAACACAGAGAGAAGAGCTTGCAAATGTTGTTTTCTCTCTCTACAATTCAGTCTTCAACAACTTGAGTGCTTTCTTCATGTTGTCAACAACTGATGGGCAAAAAGGTTACAAGAGTCAAGACGTGACCAGAAATTATATTAATAGATAATAGTAATCTTCCCAACTTGAGTATTCTCTATTGATTGTTTAATGAGGTTCTATTTTATCATAGGGTGTAAAGTTGGTAATCTTTGTGTAATTTTTTTCTAAAATTATGTGAAATGGCTTTTATCACAATCCAGTTCTCTTCCAATATTTATTAAATGCCTTTTCTACAAGATACTACAATATTACTTGTTCAGGAGACCTGCCTTTAAGGAGTCTAAAGGCTTGTTAAGATATATGGTATTACTTTGAGAATGGTCAATGCTTGGAATGTGCTTCTCCTGGCTCTCCCAGCACCCCCTGAAGGCGCTGCTAATGGACCCTGGTAATCCTTCTGCTGCCCAGACACAGCCTCCAAACCCTTCGCCAAGTAACGAGAATCTTTATGTGCCTCCCAATGAGACTTTCTGTGATAATAAAAAAAAAATATTCAGTGTCTTTGCACTTAGTACTTGAAATGTGATCAGTATGCCAGAGGACCTGAATCTTTCATTGTAAGTAATTTAAATGTACTATTAAACAGCTTCATGTGGCTAAGGGCTAGCACATTGGGCAGTGCAATTCTAGGCAGCCACTAGTCATTGAGCGGAACTGGTTCCTAGGACAAAACCCAGTTTTCTTCCCAGAAGGACTAATTAGATGTCACAAGCAGGTACAGTCTCATATGGAGGTAACTTGGCTTCCTTGAGTGGGTCTCTCTCTCTGGAAAGTGAGTCTCTTGGAAACTATGTGGAGATATCTTTCCTACTGCTCTTTAAAATTGAAATTAAGCCCAGCCAGTGTGGCTCAGTGGTTGAGCGTCGACCCATGCACCAAGAGGTCACCAGTTCAATTCCCAGTCAGGGCACATACCCAGGTTATGGGCCCAATTCCCAGTGGAAGGCATGCAGGAGGTGACCTGTAAATGTTCTCTTTCATCATTGTTTCTCTCTCTCCCTCCCTTCCTCTCTCTAAAACCAATAAAGAAAAAATATTTAAAAAATAGATAAAATAAAATTGAAGTTGAGCATGGCTGGTGTGGCTCAGTGGATTGAGTGTCGTCCCATGGACTGAGAGGTTGTCGGTTCGATTCCCAGTCAAGGCACATGCCTGGGTTGTGAGCTCCATCCCCAGTAGGGGGCATGTAGGAGTTGGCCAATCAATGTTTCTCATATCAATGTTTCTAGCCCTATCTCCCTTCCTCTCTCTCTGTAAAAACTAAAAATAAAAACATGTTTTTAAAAATAAAATTGAAGTTGAATTCAATGTCAACAAGCTAGACTAAATTATTTCCCTTTCATTATTTGGAGGGAAAAAAAAAGAAACATTTAACAAAGCACTAGATTACTACAACGGTGGTACTCAGGTCTGGGATACAAGGAGTGCACATTAGTGTGCCTAAGAGAAAAACCCGGAAAGCAGGTCATATGGCCACAGCATCCTCCTAGAGAAAATGACACCTAATTTAAATTATTCATCTTCAGTTACAATTTTTTAAAAATGAGACCAAAGTGACCAGACTAGTCCAGCTGATTCCCGGGGTCCCCGCGCAGCTCCCCCGGCCTTCCTCTCAGCAAGGTGGCCTGTACCCCTGCCAAGGCGGCGACTTACGCAGAGCTGCGTCCGAAGGTTCGTAAGCGTAGAGGCGGTTTGAGTATCTCCCGGTGATGTCTGCTCTAACCGTCAGGGATGGGTCTGCAAAGGAAAAAGCGAAAGGGGATGAAGTGCTAGGGTGATGTGTTAGCAGGAGCACTATTGCGGGGTGAAGCCCATGACCTGTAAGAGCAACCCCGCGTGTCCTTTCTTTTCTTCCCCATCCGCTCTGCAGCAGCTGGGGCGGTCAGGACCTCGAGCCAGGCTGGGACCAGCCACAGCTCTGTGCAGCTATTTGTGGAAAAGGATATGACCCTGCTGTGCTATCTATAGCAACCTGAGAACAGGATAATACATATTGTTGGTCTGGTGTTTTCATTGTGGGTAAAAACATTAGCATTCTCTACCAAGGAATTATTTTAAACTTTTGAAATTATTTTCTTGTAATTGTGATGTGTTGTTACTAGGAACAACGTAGATTAGAAACCCACATCCAATGCTGCTGTTCAAATTTTATATATATATATATATATATATATATATATATATATATATATATATATATATATGTTTTAATGAATAAAAGAAGATAAGCCCTAAGAGTAACAAAGGTCAAATAAGAATGTAGTACCCCACTCTACTTTTTATTTAAAAAATACAAATTTAGGAGTCATCCCTTATGCATTGTTTAAATCTATGCTTTCATGTTTTATATTAACTTATAGTTATCAATGAGCCAGAAAAGTATTTTTAAAATAAGATGCATCCAACAGCAAGGTAGTACCGGGATGCCTAGAAGCATCACCTTCGTAGAGGTGACTGAAGGAGCCCAGGGTTATTCCCTGAAACCTAGGTGAAGAGGACATGTGCGACACCTGCATGTTTGCAGTGTCTGTCACAGTATTTGAAAGGACAGTCTCTCATTTCAGAATATGGGACTAGGACCAACATGCTTTACAAAAAGCAGATATTCTTTTGTTCAACAAAGACTTAAGACCTGCTACGGCTTGATGCAGAGGATACAAACACCTGGCCTGATCTTGGTACTACATTAAATCAAGGCTTTTAACACCCGCCGTTGGCTCACAAGCCTGGCTGCACAATGGAATCACCTGCAGAGCCGTAAAAGAACATGGAAGCCTGCACCCCACCCCCAGACATTCTGTTTAAGTGGTGTGAGGTGTGGCCTGGGCAGCTGGTTTTTAAAAACCTTCCAGGTGAGTGTCATGCGCAGGCAGCTGGAGGGCACTGAGCTGGAGAGCAAGCTGCCTGGGAGGTGGGGTTGGCTCTTAGGACCGAAGGGACCAAACGTGGGTTTAAATGCCCTGAGATGGGAATACTGAGAACAGAACCTGAGCACAAGGTAAAACTAGATGACCTCTAAAATCTCTTTCAATTTCAAGGGCTCAAAATTTTCTAAATTGTAACAAAATTGAATCTATAAAGTTCTAGTTCAGCCTTCCTCCTTTCTTCCTTCACATTTTCTCTTCCCTGTTTTGTGCATTTAGTGTGAACTTGGTGGAATTACTTAGGTGAGCCAGGAAAGTATTTTTAATTGATTCGAGTGAGCTCTTTTTATGTGATGGATTTAAACATGGCCTGTCTTTATTTTTCTTTTTATTGAATTTATTGGGGTGACAGTAGTTAATACAATTATATAGGTTTCAGGTGTATAATTCTATACATCATCTGTGTATTGTATTGTGTGTTCACCACCCCAAGTCAAGTCTCCTTCCATCACCATTTATCCCCCCTTTTCCTTCTTCTACCCCTCCTTCCCTCTGGTCATCACCACACTGTTGTCATGGACTGTCTTAAAATCAGTATGATATTGATCAGAGCCAGACTCAATCAATTCGTTCAGTCATCTAAGAAATATTGTGAGCTCACACAGGATCACACTGAAAATATAATGGTGAGCAGAAACGGTTATGGTCCCTGGCACATGGAGTTTATAGTCCCATGGGGGAAAATATTTATTTAAAAAATACCAATAATTGCCCTGGGCGGTTTGGCTCAGTGTCGGCCCGCGGACCAGAGCGACCAGGGTTCGGTTCCCACTAAGGGCACGTACCTCTGTTGCAGTTTGTCCCCAGCCCTGGTTGGGGTTGTGTGGGTGGCAACCAGTCAATGTGTCTCTCTCACATCGATGCTTCTCTCTTTCTCTTCCCCCTCCCTCCCGCTCTATTTGAAGGTAAATGCAAAAATGTCCTCAGAGGAGGATAAATAAAATAAAAAATATCAATAATTATAAAATTATAACTCAGGGAAATACGACCCCTGAAAGGAACATGGTGCCACCAAAGCCCGTGTCGCTGGGCTTCGGCCAGGGCGGTGAATGGCAGTGATGTTGGAGGTTCACTAGGTGCCAGGGAGAAAGCAGCCCAGCAGAGGGGACAGCATTCAACCAGTTCCAGTGGCAGGAAGGAGCATAATAACTTTGATTTTTATTTTTAACCGATATTCTTTACTTTCCTAAAATCATCAACAAAGCCAGAAAGAACTAGCGAACAAACAAACTGAAAGCTTGCCTGATTACCAACCCGCATGAATAGGCCTGAGGTACGGGGGTGGGGGGTGGGGGGAAAGGAGGTTCACAGTGGAGAGTGCATGAAACACAGTTGATTCTTGGACTATTATTTATTAATTATTATATTATTTATTATTATTATTCACCTACTTTTATTAGTCACCTACTTTTGCCCACCCCTGTACTGAGGAAAAGGATCAATACATTTAAACAGTTAACGGGGTGCTTCCTACTCAGATGTATTTGTGGCAGATGAAAAGTGAAAATTAGCATAGGAGGAAAAAGTGTCATCTGTGGAAAGAGCTGGAAGCTCACACTTTCTGATGAAGATATTTTGTGAAACTTCAAGGACTGTTGAACCCCTCACTGGAGCCGGGGAGGGCGAGGGAGGAAATATGGGAGCAGTATCTCATTGTCCAAGTGTGTTTCCGGTCATTGTCACTTACCGATAAACATAATCCTGGGGACATACTGGCCGTCAGGAGAAAGGTGCTTGTCAGTTGTTTCATACTAAAATATATACATAAAAAAAAATCAGCTTTTTGTTTGTTTAATCTCTAGTTGTTTTCAAACTTTTTAATACAAAAGTATGTCCATTACTGGGCTAGGCATCTTAAGACACTTGAAGGCACATGTCGTCCACAGGGAGTTGTAACTCAGACGTGGAGACAAGGCAGACCCATGAACTGATCAGTTAGTGCAGAGCGGGATGCAGAGCCGGAGGCGAGAGCTGATCGTCGACTTCCGGTCAAGATGGCGGGTAGGGAAACGCGGTACCCGTCCTCCCACAGCCACATCCAAGTTACAACTAAACTACAGAACAACCATCTTTCAAAACCGCCTGAAATCCAGCTGAATGGAAGTCCGACAGCTACGGAATTAAAGCAGCAGCCACACAAGACTGGTAGGAGGGCGGAGGGGACGGGCTGGGCCCACACCCACGTGTGGCGGATAAAAATCAGGAGGCTCCCGCGCCTGGGAAGGTCCTTCCTAAGGACTGAGGGGTCCCCGTCCCACACCAGGCACCCCGCTCAGGGTTCCAGTGCCAGGAAGAGAGTCCCCATCACTTCTGGCTGGAAAAACCAGCGGGAACTGAGGCTCAGGGAGGCTGAGGGGCTGGAGCCCCAGGCAGCTCCCTAAAGGGCCCGCGCACGGACTTATCGGACTCTCTCCCTCTAAGCTTGGAGGGGAGGCAGCTTGAGGGGCGCCAGAGACATACAGGGAAGAACTGAGCTGTTTGGCACTGGAGCGAGGGCTGGAGAGGGGGCTTTCTCCAGGACAAACATGCTGTCAGAGACCTTTGTTCCTTTGGTGAGCCCTTCCCTGGGGCGGCAGACAGCCGCCTTATCTGGGACTCCAGCAACCTGGCTCACACTGGTAGCCCCGCCCTGCTGACTCCCTCAGGCCCCGCCCCACCCAACTTTCAGGCCCACCCAAGCTGTTGCCCTTGCTTTACCATAGGATTGACCTGTCTTGGCTCCTGCCTCAGGGTTTCCTAAATTCTTTCAAACAAGCAGCATCTGGTCTCAGCTAGCCCCATACCTCTCATTAAGTAACACACAGAAACAAACAGGGAGGCAGCCAAAATGGGGAGACAAAGAAACAGGTCCCAAATGAAAGAACAGAACAAAACCCCAGGAAAAGAACTAAGCAAAATGGAGATAAGCAACCTAACAGATGGCTGAGTTCAAAACACTGCTTATAAGGATGCTCAATGAACTTAGTGAGGGCCGCAAGAGCATAAAAGAGGACCAGTCAGAAATGAAGGAGGCACAGTCAGAAATGAAGGAGGCATTAACTGAAATAAAGAATAATTTACACAGATTCAATAGTAGACTAGGTAAAGCCAAGAAGCAAACCATCAATTTGGAATATAAGGAAGTAAGAAACACCCAAGCAGAACAGCTAAAAGAAAAAAGAATCCAAAACAAATGAGGATAGTGTACGGAACCTCTGGGACAACTTCAAGCGTGCCAACATTCGCATCTTGGAGGTGCCAGAAAGAGAAGAGAGAGAACAAGAAATTGAAAACCTATTTGAAACAATAATGGCAGAAAACTTTCCTAACCTGGTGAAGGAAACAGACATATAAGTCCAGGAAGCACAGAGTCCCAAACAAGATAAACCCCAAGAGGCCCACACCAAGACCATCATCATCAAAATGCAAAAGATTCAAGACAAAGAGAGAATCTTAAAAGCAGCAAGAGAAAATCAGTTAGTTACCTACAAGGGAGTTCCCATTAGGCTGTCAGCTGATTTCTCAAAAGAAACTTTGCAGGCCAGGAGGGAGTGGCAAGAAATACTCAGAGTGATGAAAAGCAAGAACCTACAACCAAGATTATTCTCTCCTGCAAAGTTGTCATTTAGAATTGATGGCCATATAAAGACTTTCGCAGACAAGGAAAAGCTAAAGGAGTTCATCACCACCAAAGCATTATTATACGAAATGTTGAAGGGTCTTTTTGAAGAAAAAGATAAAAAATATGAACAAACAAAATGGCAATGATTACATATCTACCAACAATTGAATCTACAAACAAAATGAACAAGCAGAACAGAAACATTCTCATAGATACAGAGAACATTTTGTTGGTTGCCAGGTGGGAGGGAGGATGGGGGAATGGGTGAAAAAGGTGAAGGGATTAAGGAGTACAAATTAGTCGCTAGACAACCTCAAAGGGAAGGCAGTTGGAGGAGGGGAAGAAATAAACCAAAGAACTTATATGCATAACCAATGGACCCAGACAACAGTGTGGGGAAAGGCAGGAGGAGGGTGGGAGTGGGGAGGAGGGGGTTAATGAGGGAAAAATGAGAAACATCTGTAATACATTCAACAATAAAAATAAGAAAAGAGCTGAATGTCTGTGACAAAGAGCAAAAATGTCCATGAAGGAAGAATTCAAAAGGAGTTATCGTGTTTGGCAAACACATCTTTTATGAGGTAGGAGGAAGTAGATTAATGAAAAAATGCAGAAGTCATTTTTGGAGAACGTACAGAAAGAAACAGGATTTTCTTGAGCATTCATTTACCCATTTATCACATTTTTACTTAAAAGTTTTTTTATGTAGCAATGTATAGCACTTATCCCTTATAGATGCATGTTCTACTGGAAGATACAGGTAGGAAAATGAATACTGGGGACCCGGTGGCTGAAATGCTATGATGGAGGATATGCAGGTGCCATGGGTGCCCCAAGCAGGACATTTAGCCCAGTATGCAAGCTCTATTCGGACTTCAGGAAGTGGGTAAGGAGGAATCTTAAAAACTGAAAATAAGTCAGTTACATGAAAACGAAGGCCATGCTGGGCAGAGGGGAGAGACTGCAAGGCGGAGGACATGCATAGCACTTTCTGATAGGGCCAGGTGCTTGGGAAGGACTAAAGCAGAGGGGTGCAGGAGGGGGTGTGAGAGAAGATAATGGAGAGCTGCTTCGGGGCCAGCTCAGGTATTTTCTTGCGCACCATGCCGCTGTGTTTACATGTGTTCATAACTAGCTAAGAAGCAATGGAGGCTTGTTAGAAGAGGTACATGATCTCCACTTGGTCTTCAAAGTGATCACCCGAATGGCATGTGAGATGAGATGGAATTTACCTTGTAGGCAGGGAGCCATTTAGTAATATGGCAGTGAGCTACGCAAAGTGAACAATTCTGTTTTTTTTTATCCTCACCCAAGGACATTTTTCCATTTTTCTGTTCAGATAGAGTGGGAAGGAGAGAAAGGAAGAGATAGAGAAACATCAACGTGAAAGGGACACATTGAGTGGCTGCCACCCGCAATACCAACCAGGGCCGGGGAAAAAGTGCAACTGAGGTATGCGCCCTTAGCGGGAACCGAACCCGGGTCTCTCTGTACCGCAGGCCGACGCTCTAACCGCTGAGCCAAACTGGCCAGGGCTTATATGTTGTTTTTATTTTTTATTTTAATTTAATTTAATTTAATTTTATCTTCACTCGAGGACATTTTTCCATTTTTTTGTTCAGATAGAGTGGGAGGGAGAGAGAGGAAGAGAGAGAGACAGAGACAGAGAGAGAAACATCGATGTGAAAGGGACACATCGAGTGGTTGCCACCCACACAACCAACCAGGGCTGGGGACAAACTGCAACCGAGGTTCGTGCCCTTAGCGGGAACCAAACCCAAGTCTCTCTGGACCACAGGCCGACGCTCTAACCACTGAGCCAAACTGGCCAGGGTCAAAGTGAACAATTCTTACACTAAAACGGTGATCCTCAGTGTATAGGACAGTGACCAAGCACAAAAATATTTAAAAGTTAGAACCACAGGTCTTTTTGACGACCGTAGGTGTGTAGGAAAGTCCAATCTACAATAACACTTCCGATGAAATAGGGAATAAAGAAGGAGGAGCAATTTGAACAGCCTGGACCCAGCTGAGCAATTCAGTTGAACATGTTGAGTTGAAGCGAATTATGGGATGCCTGGAACACGGTTGCATACATCAGTTGGAAGTTGTGGCATGTGTGGGTAAGATGTAGGAATTATCAGTGTGTGGACGATGGTTAAAGACATGGTAAGATGTGATCCATAGAGAATATAAACTACAAAAATAAGAGAGTAGATCAAACAGAGATTCACCAAATCACTTAATATTTAGGGATAGGAAGAAGAAGAAGACCCTGTGGAGGGGAGGAGAAGAAGAACTATTGATGGGGTTGCTGTTCTTAGAAGCCAACCTGTCAACCTATGAAGAGTGGGAGAGGGAGGGAGGGAGGGAGACTGACTGACTCACTTGAGTTGAGGATTATGATAGAGTCTGGCAGAAAGCTTGAACTTCAGGAGGGGGGTGATGGTGAAGTCAGTGGGCATGCAGGAGGCTAAGGCACAAAGGCAGGATTAGAGTTGGACAACCAGAGAGCTGTCTGTTCCAGGGAGAGAGGAGACAGGACTAAGGATGCCTGAGGAGCAGCCAAGCCTGCAGGAAGGGGCACAGGAGGTAATTTGCAAAATACCAAAACCTTCCAATTACTACAGCAACAGAGAAAATCCTAACAGGAGAGTACTTTTCAGACAACCTGGAGTTATTAATTACTAAATAAGAACATTGACATGGAAGATAGATAATTAATAAAATAAAGTATCGTTTTTCTCTCCAGTGTTTGAGATGAGTTTTTGGAACAGATCCCAGTTCATCCTACACATGATTAAGATGTATAGGAAAAATTAATTACCCATCTTGAATGGTGAGCCCTGGAGAAAGGTCAGTGTTGATGAAAAGGAAACTTACAACTAGATTGAGGAGGACGAACTGCTCTGCCAGTTTCTGGATTTCTTTATTTTCGGCGAACACTTTCTTTAAAGCTATAATATAAAGAAAAATCAGTAAGCATCCATCTCAGCACAAGTAAAAGCACTGTTTTCTGTTATATTTTAAGTTGAACTGTATTTTTAACAGTATGTTCAACGTTTCCCTTTCAGCAAATGATTAATGTGGTAGTACCTAGCCTATTGACCACCTTTGACATTCATTCATTCATCTATCATCATGTGTCCATCATTCTTTTATTTTTTTCCCCCAGCCTATATTTATTGAGTGGATACTCTATGGTAAGCACTGTTTTATGCACCGGAAATAGCGCAGTAAAAAAAAAAAAAAAGGTAATGTGCTTTATTCATGGAGCTCAAATGCCCCATGTAGGAGACAGATCACAAATAAGTAAACAAATACATATCTAATAACTTCAGGTGGGGATAATGTGCTTTAAAGATAAATGAAACAAAGTAAGAGGTCGCTGTGGAGTGGATAGATCTCTGTGCGGAGGTGACATTGAAGTGAGAGAGCGGCCCATTCTAAGATGTCGAGGGTATGCCACACTATGTGGAGGGGACGCTGAGAGCAATAGTCCTGGGGTAGAAGTGAGCTCAGAGGCCAGACTCGATGGAGTGGAGAGAAACAAGAGAGAGCGGTAAGAAAGGAAGGGTCCAGAGGCCAGATTGTGTCCAGCCTCGTAGCCGTGGTCAGGAATCTGGATTTAATTTTACCTGTGAGTAGAAGCCACTTGAGCACATTGCCTGATAGGATCTAATTTACGTTTAACAGCTTCATGCGGGCTTCTGTACGGAGACCTGCCTGTAGGGTGGCCAGCAGGTGGCTGTTACAGAAGTCCAGAGCGTGGTTTGGAGCAGGGCAGGAGCAGTTAGACAACAGGAAGTGGTTGGGCTTGGGCAGGACTACATGATACATGGAGCTCAGTGCATAATAAAAATATGGAGCCCCTTGTTCAAAAATTATTAAGAATTTGAAGACAGCGACTACAGAGCTTTTAAACGAAGCGTGGGGCCCTGTGCCGCTCATGCCCGCGAAGCTGGCACTGGCTTGGGGATATATTTTGGAGGCAAAGCCAATGGTGTTTGCTGATGTACTGGGTGTGGGGTAAAAGAGGAGGATGTCAAGGATGAATCCTAGAGCTTGTGGGGTTTTTTCCCAATAATGCAACAGTGGTTTACACAAAACATGGAAATATTGGAAGTTACTTTAAATATCTTTCTACTACATGAAATACTATTTTTTGTTCAACTGAGCTAGGTGCTAAGGGTATCAAAATGAGTGATCTAAACCTTGGCCCTAAAGCTCAAAGCCTATAAAGGAAATTATATTTAGAAGCATAAATTACCTTGACTATGTGGGCACTCATCCAAGTGGTGAATAATCATCAAGGGTTTATTGCTTTAAAAGAAAAAGAGAGATTGGACAATTTTACTGATGAGGGTTTCATGTACAGCTAAACACCACTAGATGGTGCTCCTGAGAGGTGTGAGGAAGCTGTGGAACCCTCTTTACCTTGTCTTGGATTTGTACAAAGCTTCTTCATATGTCTGGGTCCAGATGAGTTGATCACCCCAACCTAGGACCAAACGAACCCGTAGAGTTAAAGCTGTTATCATTTCAGACCCAAAGCTGTTGAAAAGCAATGATAATGACTGGGATATATACTTGATACCAAAGGAGAAAAACCGAAGTAGAAATAATTACACATTTTGATAAATCTAGAGGGAACACATGAAAAAATATGTTCAGCACACAAGTCTCAGCTTCCCAATTAAGTAGCATTGGAAGCTCGGGAGACACTGACTCCTACCTACCTCTGGAGAGGGTCTGGGGCAGTTTGGGTGAAGAGACCTTTGTATCCTTCTTGGCTCCTGGTTTGACAGTGGTATCCTTGGCCAGGGTGTAGGAGAGGGCCACCAGGAGTAAGAATGTTGACACTGAAATCTTCTCCATGGCAAATCTGATAATGAAACAAACAAACAAACAAGAAATCAATGAAACAAAAGGGAATTAGCAGTCTTTAAAATCTTCAGACCACATCACAGCTATGGATTACAACAGAAACAGGATTAGCTGAGATCAAAAACATGGAATTGAAGTGAGAAACTACCTTCCACAGAAATTTCCTAAGAATACAGAGTGTGAATGTCTGCTTGCTATCTATCTATCTATCTATCTATCTATCTATCTATCTATCATCTATCTTATCTATTGATCATCTATCTTTCAATCTCCATACAGATATAAATTTACTGATATAGATCTCCATAGAAATCTACAATGTAGATATAAATATATTATTAAAATAAGTAGATGTATATACTCTTATAGCTAAAGAAATCTACACTTAAATTTTATATTTAAAACATTTAGTACTGGGAGGTACCTTATCGGTTCCCTCCAGTTTTCCCACCTCCCCAATGCCTCATTTTATAGATTAAGCATCTGAAATTCAGAGAGATGAAGATTTATGAGATGGGTGCTGATAAATCACCCAAAGGCTCCTTGATCTTGCACCTTTGCAGTGTTGGCTCCTGTTTTCTCATCTTGAAACAGTGACTCTAATCATAGATACTTCGTTAGTCTTCTGTTAAAATGGGGACATTGCCTTTGAAGAATATGATCAGAGTAAAGTGATTCCTTATTTAATTTAAAACCTGCCAACATTGTCATTTAACTGAAAACTTGCACCCACATAACTCCCCAGTGTACTATTCATTGAAACACCATACATTAGTTCTGAATGGACTGAAATATATCCACCAAGTTCCTTCTACCGACACAACCTTGACTCTTGGCCTGGTATAGCAGGTGGCTGTGGGCACGTACTTGTGTGCACGAAAGTATTTGATGGGACTCATAACAGAGAAAGCAACCCCGTGGGTGTCTCTTTGTTAGTTTTTGTCTTTTTCCTGTATTTCACAGTTAATTCTTAGGGAAGGTTGCACTGCTGTGAAGCAGATGCCCGTGAACAGGAGGGTGAATGGGGGAAGATCCGAATGAGTGAGAGAGCGAGAGCAGGCTGGTTATCCAGGGAACGTGACACGCGAAGCCACAGACCTGGGAGTTCAGTAAAGCCAAAGACTGAAATTGCTTGAAAGAAATATCTAACTCTAATATTGGTGTAGGCTTGGAATGAAAGCAAATAAATTCAGCAAAGGAAGTAGGATGGACTTTCAACGCTTAGTGTTTTTAAAGGGGGAAGTTTTTCACGTTCTGATTGCTTGAGTGGGAACCTTTGCGAATTAAAAAAAAAAAAAGTGTTGCTAAATCGTCAAATCCACCTGATCCCATATATTAAACTGGCTAATTATTATGCAAGTAGTAGTATGCAGCCACAAAATGTCTTACTCAAAATAAATAAATAAAAATCAAGGATGCATTTTCTTTATTTTCTGCACTGATAAATTCGTGGAGATGCCAATAACACTTTTTGTACCCTAGCATTCTGCAGAAACAACTCAAATGTATTACAAGTCAACGAATCCCCAGACCTCTTAGAACACAGACTTATTTTGAGTGTTTAAAAAAACCAAGAACTTTTATGAGAGAATAATTGTACTTTTTGAATATTAGTTGATTTAGAAACATCATTGTAAATAGCTACTTTTATCAACATTGAATTTATCAACATTCATTTGATTTTGTATTTTATTTAGAGCAACAGCATCTATGTATATCTTTTAAAAATCATAAACTGGTGGTGAAGCGCTTTACCTATTTAATCCATTGACAATTCTGGCTGTGCAAGTGACTGTCAGGAGCCCTTGCGATAGCTCTATGGCTTACAGGTTGGAACTATTGCTATTTGCATATGTTTTATGGCAGGACAACAGAATTTCGCCTAATATAACTCCTGCTGTACAAACATCCTGCTGTGGGCTGACTTTCTGAGATTCAGTCTACTGAGTTTTCATAATGCGGATAGACTCTGCTCTGCAAACTTCCAATATAAATCATCTCAAAAGAGAATGCTTGTCCGGCCAGTGTGGCTCAGTGGTTGAGCATTGACCCATGCACCAAGAGGTCTCTTGTTCGATTCCTGGTCAGGGCACATGCCCAGGTTGTGGGCCCGATCCCCAGTGGGGGGCATGCAGGAAGCGACCAATTGATGTTCTCTCTCATTGATGTTTCTATCTCTCTCTTCCTTTCCCTTCCTCTCTCTCTAAAATAAATAAAGAAAAGAAATTTTTTTAATTAAAAAAAAAAAAAAAAAAAGCAGAATGCTAGCTTTGGGAGACAGTGACCATTTGTTCTTTGTCTCTCTCTGAAACCAGCACTTTTTATTAGTTACTCTATCTCTGTCTTCTTCTTCAGCAAGAAATGAACTTGCAGAAGATTTGGTGTCCCTATTCATAACTGCTCTAGGAAAGCACCCAGATTTCTCTGATAGTCTACACTACAATTTAAAGGTTGAAAATGCAACAACAATCTCTTTATACCACCCAGAGAAAGAGAACTGTCGTTCTGATTTGCAGTCATGTTCTGAACTGCAGTTGCAAGTCGGCAGCCTGAGCTGAGGTTTCCCTGCACCACAAGCCTCTGCTTTAGACAGTGGGAGAGAAGCAGAGCATCTAGTGCCCAGTGCCCAGTGCCAGAAGACTCTGAGCCCTGGCCCACGCTTGAAAACACCTAGAGTTCACCCACTCTCAAACCTCCTATTTCCTAAGGGAGAAAGCATTACCTTGAACCAGTTCAGGAGCGTAGCGCTCTGCCAGCTCAGGCCAAAGAAAGGCCCCGCAAACCTTTGGTGAAAGTTCCATTCAGTCCTTCTCCAAATCCCATTTCCATTGCCTTTGAAACTCTCTTTCACACAGTAAGCAGAGGCTAGAATATACGCTAGTGAGTGTCCTTCCAACAAGTGCTAATATCAGGAGCCTTACCTGTCTTTCCCCGCCCACCTGTCTTGGAGCCAGGTGGCCTTGATGCGTCCAAGCTTCCAAGTGTGCTCCCTCGGCCCAGCCTCTATTTATGCACCAGAGCACACCTCGGTCCCACCCACTAGTCTCTCGTTTACGTGTTGCAAACTCAGAAGGGAACTTTCCTTTTTCCAAGCAGTTGCCTTTCCTGGGCTAAAGAGTTCTTGTCCTTAATGTTGCAAACGACGTGCTGTTTCAGTGTGCACGTTTTTAACTGTGAAAGCACATTGTTAAGCGACTTGGAGAAGATGGGCAGACTGCCAAATCCAGGTAAACTCTGGAATGAAGACATTTGATTTGCCCGAAGGCTGATTTGTCTTTACAGGATTGGATGTGGAGTGTGCGGTTTGTAGGTTGTTTTCCCCTCCCCTTTGGGCAAACTGCCTTTACTGAGTTAAAAAGCACACAAGAGATGACTCACAGTTGCAACCTCACAATCAGATAACCTGCTATCTTCCATGATGGGACCAATTATTTTCCATGATATATTCCCCTCTTCCTGACAAACAAAATATACATTGACTATTGGTATGAACAACATACAAATCAAACACTTACATAGTATTTCGAGACTGAAGAAATGGATTGAAAAAGGATGCCCTGATATTATGCTTTCTTATGAATTACCCTGCAATTGTATATATGCAGCAACTTCCCTCCAAAGAGTTCAAAGGTATTTCACAGATATTTTCATTCATTTAATGGCCAACTTTCCTTCCAGGCATGCAGGAAGCTATTTACATAGTTTTTCAGACCTAGAAACCTGAGGTCACAGCTGTCTTTTGTTGTTGTTAATCCTCACTCGAGGATATTTTCCCATTGGTGTTTAGATGGAGTGGAAGGGAAGGGGGGGGGGAGAGAAACATGGATGTGAGAGAGACACATTGATTGGTTGCCTCCCGAATGACCCAGATGGGGCCAGGATTGAACTTGGAACCCAGGTAGGTACACCTTTGATGGGAAATTGAACCTGCAACCCTTTGGTCCGAGGGCCAATATTCTAACGGCTGAGCCAAACCAGCCAGGGCTACTTTTTCTTTTTTAATTCAAGATTATGCAATTGTTCACTAAAAATTTTAAGCCTGAATTCAGATTTTTATGAAAAACAAAATAAAACAAAAGCCAGTCTTGTGTTTTGTTCATGAAGCTGTATGCAATTCTTAAAAGCTCAAAATACAGAAATGTTTAAAAACAGAAATTAACTAATGGGATGCAAGCTTGCAAAAATTACTTTTTAAAATGAGTTAAGTTCATAATATTTCCAAACATTTTTAAGTATGTATTTTTTTTTTATAGAGATTCTAGTCTGAGTCCTGAGTCCTGGGCCTTGGTGCTCGCTCACTGGATAACCTCAGAGCCATCATGTATCATCTCTGAAATGTGGGTCTTTGGCTTATAATTTATGATGATGTTATAATTTTCTACGGTGCTCCTGTGCCTACCTCGTGCCTTAGTGCCTTAGTGCCTAAGGTATGGCAGGGAGGAAGTAGATAATAGAACATAGCCCACCTGCACCATGGTGACTGGTATCCTTGACACCTACAACTGTCTTGGTGTGAAGCAACTAGGGTTTTGTAGATCGTAAAAGTTTTTCTTATATTTTATTAAACAGCATTACTTTTACCATGATGCCATATGATCAGTCTTTGAGATTTGTCTGCTACTGTAAAAATCTGTTGTTACTAGGTAGCTACTTTTTTTAATTCATTTTTTTTTTCCTGAGTAGGATTGGAAAATCTGATATATAAAGTAATGTTTGGGAGTGGAACTAAGCTTAGTACTAATGACCCTACTAATAGCCTAATTGAGTGGATGCTACACCTTTGTGTTTTCTATATTTGTGTCACTGTAATTTTAGAGGCTGTTGTACAAGCAGATTTTAAAGTAGGTTATTTTCTATTTTTGAGTAAAATTTGAAGACATAGTAATAATAACTAGCAAATATTACTAAACAGTATTTAGTATTATTGATTTTATTTTAGCTTTTTAAAGTTTTTAATTGAATTTATCGGGGTTACATTGGTTAATAAAATTATGTAGGTTTCAGATAGTACATCATCTGTATATTGTACTGTGTGTTCACCACCCCAAGTCAAGTCTCTTCCCATCACCATTTATCCCCCCTGTACCTCTTCCACCTCGCCCTATGCCCCTTTCTCTCTGGTAATCACCATACTTTTGTCTGTGTCAGGTTTTTTCCCCTTAATTCCTTTATCTTTTCCCCCCAGCCCTGCAACCCCTCTCACTAAATATCCATTGAACCTATTTACGTAGCAGATATTACAACCAGATGTGAAAGATATAAAGCTGAAAAAGACATAGTCAGTTATGAAGGTAGCCAGACTCATGCAGAAATAATCGCAATTCAGGTTATGCCCTGGAAAATACAAAGTTGAAGATACTGTTCCTGCCCTGAGGGTACTTACAATCTGATAGAAGAATTAAGATAGAGCCACACTGAAAATTAACCATTCCCATGAGAAGAGCATGCCATGAACGTCAGCCAAGTGGTATAGACATCCGTTGTTATTTCTCAGAGGAGACAGAGATAGCTGTCCATTAGAATGTTCAAACTGATAGTAGAAAGCAAGGTTTCCAGATAAAGACCGTGATTTAGAATTTGCAAAACATTTTTTGGTTGGCTATTTAATAGGATTAGCTTTGCTGCCGTGAGAGCCATCTGGGAAATTTATAAATACGATTGGAAAGGCATTTTGGGGGCTTTATGGCTGGAATCTCTAGTGCCATTCTAAGGAGTTTAGACTCGACTTTCAAGGAAGTGTTGTCTGGTGGTTAAGAGGGCAAAGTATAGATTCAGATTGGTTTGAGTTTACATCTAGCTTTATGACTATTCCATACTCTCCTAACCTAACTGCCCTCTCCGTGTTAGATGTCTCCCTTGTAAAGTGGGGACAGTAAGACCTACTTTATAGGATCTGTGTTTTTACGAAGATAGTAGAAGTGAAGTGCTTAGAATGGTACATAGTACATAGTCAGCATTAAAAAATACTAGTTATTATTTTAGAATGTATCATTTGCTTCTCTGTATTAAAATTGTTTAGATTTCAATCTATTAATTAACTAATATTATGTCTGCTAACTCCATGACAACAGAATTATTGATTCCTCTTTGTATATAGCCTATTATAAGGCTTAAACTTTTAACACGTATTCTTGAAAAAATTAGTCATCATAACAACCTCCAAAGACATTATAATTTTCTTTTAAAAATAAGGAAATAAACTCAAATGGGTGGATATAATTGGCCTAGAGACACAAAACTGTTATGAGTAGAGGACCTGAAATCTCCCATAACAGTTGATAATTAATTCAGTATTCCTTCCAGTCTACCAATCTAGCCTCTGATGTCAAGAAGTAAAGACATAAACCTATAAGCAAATGTTAACCTCACAAAATAATGATAATGAGCTTTATGAAGAGGAAAATGAGAATAGCTTCTAAGTACTCAAGCACCTTGCTCCTAATGGAGCTTTTTCAAAAACACAGTCAGCCCTTCCTATCTGCGAGTTCTACATCTGTGAATTCAATCAACGACGGATGGAAATTTTTGAAAAAACATCTTATGTTGTTGCTGATATGTATTATGTAGTTAAACCTATGATAGCTGTGTCTGCACTAAACATGTACAGTACAGACTTTTTTTTGTCTTGTCATTATTCACTAAATAATACAACTATTTGCATAGCATTTACATTGTATTAGATATTACATGTAATCTAGAGATGATTTAATATACAATGGAGTGTACATAGATTATATGCAAATACTACACTGTTTCACATAAGGAACTTGAACATCCTCAGATTTTGGTATCCCCGGGGGTCCTGGAACCGATACCCTACAGATACTGAGCGAGACTTCCTGTATATCTAACTGCAAACCAAGTTGCTGAATAAATAAGCTCTCCCTAAACTCTAGCTTAGAGAATTAGACAGATAGTATTAGTGTTTGACATATAGGAAGAGTTGATTGCCATTTGAGTTTATCTTAATGTCTAATGGGGACTTTTGTGTACAAAAGTAATTGGCACTCCTTGGGGTTTAGTTGCTGTTCATTGTATCAAAGGTAAAATTTTAAAACCTAATTCTCTTAAATCTACAAGTTTGAGTTTAAAAATATATAAATTTTGCATATTTGTATAAAACATACAAAAATATGTAGTCTTTAAAGATAGTAAATTGGTATAAAATTGAAAATCTGTTTTAGCTTGTTTCTTTTTACCTTTTTTAGTGTGGTAAGAACAGATAGCATGAAATCTACCCTCTTAACAAATTTCAAAGTGTACAGTACATTATTGTTAACTGTAAACACAGTGTTGTACAACAGATCTCTACAACTTGTTTCTTGATGTCTAATTAAAATAAATTTCAATAGAATAAATTTACCTAAATTAAATCCAATCAATTAAAAAGCCCCTTTTGGGACATCTGAAATACATTCAACAATAAAGATGTTTTTTTAACTGTTTTAAAAAAAACAAAGGAGATTCGTTAGAGCATATATATATATATATATATATATATATTTTAATCCTCAACGAGGATATTTTTCCATTTATCTTCAGCTAGAGTGGGAGAGAGAGAGACATCTGTATGAGAAAGACACATCAACTGGTTGCCTCCCATATAACCCTGATTGGCCAGGGATTAAACTGCGACCGAGGTACGTGCCCTTGACTGGAATCGAACCCACGACTCTCTGATCCATGGGCTGATGCTCTAATCGCTGAGCCAAACCGGCCAGGGCATAGAGCATATATTTAAAGTATGATTGGCCAGAGTGACCTATTAACTCTTGTCCAAGAGTGAAATTCTTTTTATTTTTTATGTTTTGCACATATAATATTTAATTAGTTTTAGGTATACTACATAATGATTTGATATATGTATATACTGTGAAGCAATCATCACAGTAAATTTAGTTAACATCCATCACTACCACAAACTTTTTCTTGTTTTGAGAACTTTTAAGAGCTATTCTTTTAGCATCTTTCCAATGCACAGTATTGTACTGTTACCTAAGTCATTATGCTATACATTACACCCCAATTATATCTATAATAAAAACTTATTTGTCTAAT